TGTCTCAAATCCACAACAATCATACCGGTATCAAAGAAATCACCTGTGTCCTGTCTAAACGACTACCGTCCCATAGCACTGACTCAAGTCATAATGAAGTGCTTTGAGAGGTTAGTCATGCACAACATCAAAACCAGCCTCCCCAACACACTCGATCCGCTCCAGTTTGCATACCGTCCAAACCGCTCTACAGACGATGCAATTTCCTCCACCCTCCACCTGGCTCTTACCCACCTAGAAAATAAAGACTCCTATGTTAGAATGCTGTTCATCGACTTCAGCTCAGCATTCAACACAATAATCCCACAACAGCTCATCAATAAACTAAACCTGCTGGGCCTTAGCAATTCTCTCTGTAATTGGATCCTGGACTTTCTATCTGGAAGACCTCAGTCAGTCCGTGTCGGCCACAACACCTCGAGCACTACTACACTGAGCACAGGTGCCCCACAGGGCCCCCACAACGCACTACAGAGAGGAAGTGGCAAAGCTGGTTGAATGGTGTGGCACTAACAACCTGTCCCTCAATGTGAGTAAGACAAAGGAGGTTGTGATGGACTTCAGGAGAAACTCTGTTGACCACCCCCCACTGACCATCGACAGCTCGACTGTGGAGAGAGTCAGCAGCACTAAATTCCTGGGGGTGCACATCACAGAGGATCTCACCTGGACCACCAACACCATGTCACTCTCCAAGAAGGCACAACAGCGCCTACACTTTCTCCGCCGGCTGAAAAGAGCAAGTCGCCCTCCTCCCATCCTCACCACATTCTATAGGGGCACCATTGAGTGCGTGCTGACCAGCTGCATCACTGTCTGGTATGGGAACTGTAGTGCAGCAGACCGCAAGACCCCTCCAGCGGCAGTGAACACAGCTGCAAAGATCATCGGTGCCCCTCTCCCCTCCATCCTGGACATTTTCCTTACACGATGCTCCAGCAAAGCCAACAGTATCATGAAGGACCCCACCCATCCCTCCCACAGTCTCTTCCAGCTCTTGCCATCAGGAAGACGGTACCGGAGCATCAGAGCCCGCTCCGCCAGACTGCTCAACAGCTTTTTCCCCCAGGCTGTGAGAGCCCTGAACTAAAATAACCCCGCCCTCCTCTGAAACCCCCACATAACCCCCTACCTCCTGAAACATGGACCATCTCACCTCCTACAATTCAAACAATTCGAAGTGTGCTACAGGGCCTGTACAAACCACCTGTAGAAACACACTCTCCTGTATGTGCACTAGACACTTTTCACACACACTGCTTTGTGTACATAAATCCCACAAAAGACTCCGTAATAGGTGCGTTTACATGCTCATGCACTACAAATCATCTGCACTGTTCCCCAGCCAGCTGCTGACTACGATGTTTCTCTTTGCACATGTACAGTATTATGTGAAGCATCCGTATAGTCTGTATTCTTTATTTTATTTATTTTTTTACTTATGTATAGGTAAACATTTATATATATATATATATATATAGTATATTTATAATCAAAATCAGTCAGTAGGTTAGTTGTGTATAGGCTTTTACTGCTTTACTGTATAGTTTTTTTTTACTGTTTTACTTCACTGTTGTATGCCTGTATTTATGTGACACCGTGGTCCTGTGAGGCACGACATTTCGTTCCACTGTATGTCCTCACATGCAGCAGAATGACAATAAAGCTCAACTTGAACTTGAACTTGATATAAGTATTTTTACTATAGGTTTTACTGACTGTCTATGAAGTACCACAGTAAAATGTTTTACTCTGTGCATTTTTTTTACAGGTGATGCTATAGTAGTATACACTGATGGCTGTTGCACAGCCAATGGGAAAAAAGGAGCACGCGCAGGAATTGGTGTATATTGGGGTCGTGATCATCCACTGTAAGTCATCTGTGATTAATAGCATTCTGAAAAAAACTGGTATTTCAGAAAACAATACTTTTCATGTTTTGTTTCCCCCTGCCAACATTTTCACTGTTTTAGTGTCAAAAATGTATACATTTTAATTGTTTTAATTACTTTTAATTGTTTCCTCAGTAATGTTGCTGAGAGGCTTCCAGGAAGACAGACCAACCAAAGAGCAGAATTGCAGGTAAGAAGGAGGTTGTTCTTTCAGTGTTCTTTCTTATACACTTTTATCAATAACTGTATCGTTAAACTTCTCATCACAGGCTGCTTGCAAGGCACTCGAGCAAGCCAGAGAAAATAATTTAAAAAAAGTTGTGATCTACACGGACAGCAAGTTCACCATTAATGGTATGCGCTTTCTGATTTTATGTTCAAATACTTGTGAAAATGTCTGGTCATAAAACAGTGTAGTACTTATTTATTATTGTTATTAATAGATATTTTAAAAATAACTTACAACATTTTTTTTTACGTTTATTTATTTAAATATTGGTTGCAATGCATTTTTTTGGATTTCTAAAGGCATTACAAGTTGGGTAAAGACTTGGAAGTCTAATGGCTGGAGGCTTAAAGGTGGCGGGGCCATAGTCAACAAGGAAGACTTTCAAAAGCTGGATAAACTAAATGCAGAACTTGAGGTCGAATGGGTATGTTTTCTGTATTCACAGTGATGAACAATATGGCATCTGCTATTCAATTTGTTTGTTTCAAGCATGATGTCCCAACCTTTGTGTATAAACATTCTTTTGGGATGTAAATGTGCAGCTGTAGACGTTTTCACTCTATCATTTTTGATAAACACAAACAAAGAGATGTCTTGCATATCTGTGTAATTTTCACTGATGCTGGTGATTAAGGATGGAAATTAAGATCAGAGCAGCTGATCTATTAAGAATGCTGTGATTTATATCCATTATATTGTGTGGAAGTTCACTATCCTTCTGAATGTGGGATATTGAATACATACTGTACCTCTTGGTCAAAATTAGGTATTGTTGTAAACTTTGTTATATCTAGAATATTGGCTGGATAACTTCAGTAACTAGCACTCTACATTTAAATATGACACACAGTGTCAGAAAAATAAATACATAAATTCAGTTACTAAATCAGTATCCATATATTAAAACTAATATTCATATATTCATATATTGAAGACTATGCCAGAACTTTAATTGAGAAATTGAAAGATACCTTCAGACTACAATACATGGTGTTTATTTAAATTTAATTTTATATTTACATTAATATTTAGCTTTGTGAAGAATTTGTGTTTGTAGCATTTTTCTTTTCTTTTTTGCTGTGGTGCAAAAAAAAATTAAGACCACGTCTTGATGTCAGAACCCTTCTCCTCACTTTCAGATGCTCTCATGCATGCTTGGCATTATGCAACGAGTGATGAAACAAATGCATGGCATGGCCAGTGAAATGACTGCAAATGAAAAAATGTACCATCTCTCTTATTCTTCATTTCTAGATGCACATTCCAGGTCATGCTGGGTATACAGGCAATGAGGAAGCAGACAGACTGTCCCGGGAGGGAGCGGCAAAGCCCCCATGTTAGCCCACTTTTATCATGTTAATTTTATAATAATGCATTATTGTAGGTGCCTAGGACGAGGTTGTAGTTTGTTTATCCTCAGTGACTAATGCACTTTCTTATTTTGATTTTGTTGTGCTAGTGTTGTAATGTTGCAAACAACACTCGAAACAAGTTTTCTTCTATTCTGAAGAGCGATGCTTAGCCAAAAATTTACTTTTTGATTGTTCTGTCAATAAAAATGGTCATATATTGTTCCTGGGATGGATTCCTGGTACTTATTTTTTTTCTCTCAGAAATATAAGCACTTGAAAATGTTCTGCCACCATAATGTATTATTGATTCTTTATCTCTGAATGCGTTGTCTTGCTCTTATTTTCAGAAAGATGTTTTCAGTTAAGGTCATGGCTCTGAAATGCACTTATACTGAAATGCTTCGATATGAACAGCAGGTGTCACTGCAGTTCATGCTGAAAAATAGAATATAGTTTTTATCTTTACAAAAATCTAAGTTTGCTCTTAGTTATTACTGAGCCTTTCCCATCTTCACCTGGGTTATTTTAACTAAATGATGAGGATATTTAAATTTTATTATATTTTTACTATTTTCTTTTTTTTTTTTAAATGTTCTCCATAGCAGAGTAGAACTTCATCCAATTCCATCCAATTTGCTCAATCTGTGACTTAATTCTTCAAAAAGATCATTGTTTTTTTAAGTCTACATAACGAAAGTCAGATGTTTTTGGACCTCAAGTCTAATCAAAATACCTTTTTAATGTATTCCAAAGAAGAAAGAGGTCATACAGGTTTGGAAACACATGAGGGTTAGTAAATAATGACGATTTTAATTGTTCTGTGAATTATATTTTTACGATTAAAGAGTGAGAGCCTTTGCATGTTGTTCATGATCAGTGCTCAAGAAATTCTCTTAGTGCTGTCGTTTATCTCGAGCTATATGACGGTCCTGTCCGATTCTCTGCTTTAAGCCTGCTTCTAGACCAGGGGTAATCAAACACACCTGAACAAGCTAATCAATGTCTTCAGGATTACTAAGGCTATAGGCAGGTGAGGTTTTTTTTCAGGGTTGGAGCTGAACTCTGCAGGACTGCGGCTCTCTAGGACCGAACTTGCCTACCCCTGGTCTAGACAGAAGCCTTGAATGTTAACTTAAATACAGATAAGCTGCACAGCAGGCTGAGGAGGAGTGAAGGCATCTTCTCTTTCATGAAATAAACAGAGGTGAGAATCTCAACACCAGGGCCTCAGTGCAGTCCATCCTGACCTTTGCTTGCAGAGCTCAGCTCCTCTGAATTCCTGCTGAGATCCAAGACCTTCAGAGCGGGATGTGCGGTCAACAGTTATAGGTCAGGAGACTCCGGTTGTCCTTGCCTGGTGAAAACAAAGAGGATTTAGTGCTTGTAACCTTTCACAGCTTCAGTTTTCTTGAGTCTACCTTGTATGGCAGATTGGTCTAGATGGCATGTTGTAGGATGGCTGGAGAGCAGAAGTTTTGATATTTCTGTCTCAGTGAGGGGACAGAAGGAGAAGATGGGAGTTTTTGCAGTGTGTGTGGGGCTGAGAATTGGCTACTGATTGTTCTGGTTTTGTATGTGAAGAATGTGGCAAAATCATCAGCTGTTATAGAAGTGGTAGGAGGTGGTGGAGGGGGACAGAGGAGAGAATGGAAAGTTTTGAAGAGATTACGTGTGTCTGGAGCGCTGTTGATCTTGTTGTGGAAGTATGAAGATTTGGCAGTATGGACTTCAGCAGAGAAAGATGAAAGCAAAGACTGATACATACTCAGGTCTGACGGATCTTTTGATTTGCACCATTTTCTCTCAGCTGCCCTGAGTTTGGTCCGATGTTCACGAAGAACATTGGATAACCAGGATAACATTGGATAACCAGGCAGTCCGTGCTGGCCTGGAGGAGAGAGGACAAATATCATTTAGACAAGAGGTTAAAGTAGAGCATAAAGTGTCAGTTGCTGCATTCACATCCAGAGATGAGAAATGGGTAGGTGAGGGAAGAGAGGAGGATACAACGGAGGAAAGATGGGAGGGGGAAAGGGAGCGTAGGTTTCGTCTAAAAGTAACCGGTATGGGGGTTGGTGGCACACAGGTAGCAAAATGTAGTTGAAATGTAATGAAGAAATGATCAGAGATATGTAGGGGTTTGACCAGAATGTTGTCTGCAATACAATTGCGTGTGTAAATTAAGTCAAGTTGGTTGCCTGATTTGTGCGTGCTTGTGGTGTATACTAAAAGTCTAGATGTATACTAAATGTATACTAAAAGTCTCCTTGCAAGTCTTATTGTGGAATCTGAAGATGAAATCTATTCTCAAGCCTAATGGGGAATGTAGATTAGCTAATTTTGTAATTATGGAAGTTAGTTGTTCCAACTGGTAACGTTTAGAACTTATCTGAAGACTGTTTGATTATCAAACATGGTGATAATTTGTTGGAGATTAAGGGAAGGAGGAGGCACACCAAAAACACCCCATCATTACAGCACATCTGGTCTCTGCTCTCTTCAAAAACTATGTCACAGCTGACTCGGGCCCTCAAATCTGGAAGAAAGTGTAGGGGAATTTCCACTAATGAATCCAACAATCACACGATGAGGCCTCTTTGTGCAGAGACTTCAATGGAAGCCACATTCGGAGCAGGCACAGCGAGTCACAATCAAAGGCACCGGCAAGCCGTTACCACGGGAGCAAACCTGCAGCTTGTAACCGAACAGACATCTGTTTCCATGACAGCTGTCTGGAACGGCATCAGCCTAACTGCTGCCTCAGAACTAGGCTGACTGTTTGATATCTCTTGCGATAAAGACAGAGAAGATTCTGTCAGAAACCCTCGTCGCTTGTTGTTGTGATGCGCTAATGCGAAGAGAGAAGTTTGTATTTCTATTTATTTTGTTGGTCTTTGAAGCTGCCGGAATCAGAGGCTGCAAAATAGTGGAAGGGAGAAGAAACGTACCCGAGAGAAGTAAACATATGGAGCGAACTACCCCGGTGTGCTCGACGGAAGTCGCTTCAGAGCGAAGTAGCTTCCGCGAGGGGTACAGTAAAGACAAACTAATAAGTACAAGTTAAACAACAACATTTCTGACATAATGTTGATTTCAGCCAAATTCATTTCCACCCTTCCCTCCTTTTCTTAAACAAGCAAACATCTGTTTTTACAGTGAGGCACAGTGAAGTGAAAGGGCATATGTAAACATTACAATACTCTTTGTTTTCAAAAGTATAGCCACCAAACGTGAACTATATGTATGGTAACTAATTAATAATTAATAATAATAAAGAAAATAATTTAAACAGCTTTATGGGTCAAATAATGCGTACGTTTTAACTGAAAAATTTCTGCCTAAAAGTAAGCATGGCATTTTCTTTTTTCTGTCTGCATTATTTTTCATTACAATGTCATAAGTGAATAATCTTCAAGTGAACTGGCAGATTTCTCTCTTGTGACACAACACTTTGCCAACTATTTTGCCTAATAGGTCAAATTAAGTCCCTACTACGTCTGTTACCAAATAATAAAAAATTGGTCCCATTTACTTCCTTTTCAACTGTCACATAGCCTCCATTTTTGTTTTGAAAATCAGGGACTTGTCTAAATCATTTCTTTTATCAGTTTAACAAATGCTATACCGATAGAACTTAACTTGCACTAAACCAAAATGTTCCTTTTTAATAGGCCAGTATCTCTAGTTCTACATGCTTTAGACACCTAGTGGTCTGCTGTTTGCAAGGGCAAGGCCTGCCTGCAGAGAGGGGCTTGACAAGGTGAGCTCCAGCACTGCAGCACTCTGCAGCTTTCATTCCCATTTTCTCTCACTCCACCCTCCCTGTCGCTCAGACAGTACACCTGCTTAGGAGCTCTCCAAAGCGCTCAACCACACTGAGATATCACCATAGCTAAGTACTGCATCATCTTTTATGTGCATCGAAACCCAAAGTCCTTGACCCAAATAGTGCAGATGGCCGTGCTCTGAACTGCCACTTAAATTCAGTGAGCTCAGGAGAGTCTGCTGTGTCGCCTGGCCTTCAGGCTGCCTCAGACTGTGTGTGTATATGAGACTGACTCATCAAGCTACCAGATAACTCAGTTTAATCCCACAGCAGGAGATCCATTCTCTTAAAGCTGAAGTTACCCATCACGTGCTTGCAGATGAGGTGGCCGTGGCACCTCCTCACATGTAACCAAAGTGAGCCAGTCGTGCTGAATTTTTAATGAAACATTTGTCAAGCAGCTACCGAGCAATATTTTCAGCATTTGTAAGGAGAAAAACAAAAGGAACATCTGTGTCTCCGTCACCCTTACTTGCACAAAGAGTTGTTAGATCATTAAGAAAATTGTTCTTTCTTTCTTTCTGTAGTTCTTTGTATTTTTGTTTTTTTTCTTTTTCTTTCTGTATTTTCTGTTCTTTCTTTCTTTCTGTATTTACTATTTTCTTTCTTTCTTTCTGTATCTCTTTCTTTCCTTCTGTAGTTCTCTTTTTTCTGTAGTTCTTTCTGTAATTCATTCTTTTCCTGTAGTTCTTTTATTCTCCAAAAAGTGTTTGACACTTACACTTACACTTTATTCTTAATCTTACTTAGTTACAATTTCTATTACTCAACTGGCAATTTTAGTGGATATATGAAGTCACTTCTGCAGGTTTCCTAGCAGGTTTAGTTCTCAAAATTAGCAGCTTACAATTGGTAAGTGTCCACAATTTTCCATTTTAAATATAACTTCTTTGCTTGTGCTATTTTTCTTTAAAATGGAGGCAACTCAGTCTGATATTTTCTTATATAATGCAATAATAGTCAAACATGTTTTTTTTTGTTAAGTCTCTACCTCTTTGGGACCACTGTATCTACTTTATATATGGTATGTTTTGTAGTCATGTATGAAGGAAGTAATTTGTAAATGAATATCTATTTGGAAATGTTTAGTAAAAATCATTTTTGGTCAAATTTTCAGAAGAATCAACCTCACTTGCTGGTACAGTTACTATGACCATCTGAGTCCTCACCTTGATGAGGCTGCCAGTCAGATTTGGCATGCTCTCAACTGCCCTTGACCATGAGACGGGAAACCACAGAGAGAAAGAGACAGAGAGACAGTTAGTGAGAGAAAGGTAGCGGGGGTGACAAGGTGAAGAGCAAATGATGCCATTAAAGGCAACAGCTGCTTGCTGAAGCAGGGGCTGGACTGGTCAACCCTGCCACCCATAATGATAACAAGGTCAGCGGGGTCACACCGCTCAGCATCACACCACACTGCTCCCCCATCCATCAGTTTTCCCACCTCTAAT